GCGCGTGAGCTCTCTTTTAGGCTCTTCCTCTATCTCTCTTTTTAGGCTGAACTGCGCAAATTTACACGATAACACAGCAGCAGCAACAGCAACAACGACCAGCAACGACAACAACAACGACAGTGTGCTATGTGGAATATCCTCTGCACCTTCACGGTCCGCTACTTCGATTTACCGATCACGCGCCCAACAACAAACTGACTGACTTGACTGCGATTGCTATATCGACCAAAACACGACTCTTCAAGCTGCGAAGTCGGTATTCGAATACGCTCTCACTCTCTTTCTCTGTCTCTCTGGTTTGGATGCACTTCGGCGAGAGACAGACTACATATGTAAAACTAGTTATGGGACAGGTGGTCGGCCAGGTGTATGTAGGAGCGCACCCTACATTGAATGATTCATCTATTGAAATAATTTTGGTCAAATCATTTTAAATAGAAGATTATTTTTTGGATTATTTAAAAATGTATGTTAAGATTGTTGTAGTAGCCAATTTAGTAAGTTTTGATTTTACTCATTTAACTTATTTTTAATTAACTGTTAAGCACACGGGACCCTCTATTTTTTATAAAATATAAAATATTTTTTGTTTTTCTGAAATATTTTTTTATTTTAGCTAATATTTCTCTTATAAATTATACATACTTAAGCTAAAGTAAATAATTTACAAAAAGAAATAAAATACTATCAACCAAGGGCAAGTGCACTTGAAATCACTAACAACCACTGGACAGACCGACAAGTTCCAGCGTAGGAGATCGTGATCGGCTGTAGTTTTCTCTTTTGCGGTTGAAGCCTCACTCCAATACAAACATATGCCCGCTTAGTAATGCCTATATGTGTGTGAGTGGGTATTTCTGCTCGTTTACCTGTTGCTTTTCAATTGTTTTACATTTTGCCAGAAAAGTGATTTTTCCACAATTGCCAGAACATACGGCACTGTCTCGAGATTCCACCAAAATGCTCTTGGATAATTAAAATTACAACAACAGGTGGGACAACACTTATATGTACATGAAAACTGGCTTATAGCAGTATGTGTGTGTTTTTGTAATCTCAAACTGACGTAAAAACAAAGACACAGCATTGCTGTTATTTTTGTTATTTGCCGCAGAAGACGTAGACGAAGAAGAAGAAGCAGCTACGAGAAAAATATATTTTATTTTCGTGATACGTAATTTCTGGGGTTGTTTGGCCGCTTCAAATACAAATTGCAATAAAACTGGTTCCCCAAGTTGAGCGTATAATAATGTACCAGGATTTTGATTATTGTTGTCGTTACTCGTTGTTTAGTTGTTGTTGCTGCTGCTGTGGTATTACTATTGTTTTGTTGCATGCCTTGCATTTTTCCAGTACACATTTTCTTTTTACATTTTGCCACATTTTAACTGCAATCGACCCTTCCCCTTCGGACGTCCCCTCACCCAACCCCTTCAAAAAACCGGCTTTACATTAAGGAGTGTGCGTGAGGGGACATGTGTTTGTGTGGCAAATGCAATTGGTGTTTCAGTTTGGTTGCAGGCACCGTGGAAAGGAAAAGCCATTTAGCAAATTAAATTGGCGTGAAAGCTTAAATACCACAAATAGTTTCTGGTACTTAGGATCAAATGGTAATTCGGTTTTTATGTACCTGATACTTTATGCTGGCAATGAGGTTGAAAACCAAACCAGAAAACATTTTTTCAGATTTTTGTATTAAGTGTTTCCAATCAGCTAGAACAGATTATTTCATTTATGATAACAACTTTTTAATGCCCTGTCTAAGTCCAAAGCCCATTAATTGTAACCAGTTTAAGATTTACTTCTTGAATATTACAACTTTTATTATCATTCAAAACTGTAGCTTTTTAAGAAGATTTCTTAATCTAAAAGAAAACTAAGTTTTTAGGTTTATCATAATTTTTTAGTTTATTTGACTAGTACTGGCTTGACACATCCACTGTGTCCACTTTTTCCCACTGTGCTCTCCTTGTCGTATCGTTGCATCTACACATACTTCCATTTTTCCTACACCCGCTCTCTGTCACCGCGATCTCTCTCTTATCTGTTCCCCTGACTTTTAAGCTCCTGTTTCGGCTTTTCCTCTCCGCTCAATATTGGCCATTTACAGTTAGAGGCCGCTCGCTGCGCTGCTGACAGCAAATATTGCAGCTATTATTGGCATTTTCTCTCCCGCTGCAACTTTATTACCAGTTTCCTTTCCGCCGGTCAAAAAGAAAAACTCACAATGGCTTTTCATTGAGAGATTTTTTCTGGTGGAGCAACAGGGTGACCCCTGGATATATGGATTCCTAAAAATGTTACTTTAAATAGTATTTTAACATTACACTCTTTTGTCTATATCTTATCCGATCCTATCCAAAGAACTTAGAAAATGCCGAGCTATATTACCAAGTACCAACAATGTTCAATGTGCGCTTATTAAGGGGGCGTTGAAACGCCCCCTTATTTGCAAGTAATAATGGCCTTTAAAAATTCACAATTGCAATTTGATTGGAGTCTCTTTAAAATTGTTATCGCCGCCAAGGGGCGTTGACAGCGGATGTTTTTTGGTGAGGGGGTGGACTGGGTACAACGAGGGGCAGGGACTTCAAGTTTCGTCGCACATGACTTTATCTTGGCGTTGTTTTCATCATCGTCGCAATAGAGTTCAAAGGCCCAATTAACCAAATAAAATGCATGAAACCAGAAAATACGTTTTTTACTCATTGTTTTATAAGGCAAAATGTCATTAAATGGTATTGTAAATATTTGTGTGCAGCGATCAAATGGCAGCTGAAGCCAGTTATTCTTGTTGCTTTGCAGCTCGTAGGAACGTGCTGGTATTTTTCAAGCGCAATCGTTTTGGTTTTCATACTGGGTTTTAAGCTTTTTAGCTTTTGAGCCTGGGTGCGGAGGCCGGTGTCATCAGCATAATTTACGTGCCGATGCCCGCCCAGCCGAGAGTCACGTTTCCACCTCACGCTCCTTATCACATGTCGTTGAAAAGAGAAACACTTGTAGAAGATCGGGGAAAATCAAAATAGCTTATAGATGTGAGGCCTATAGCTGAAGAACCAGCATCCATTTAAACTCTATTACTTTAATTTTAAACTTCTATATGATCTTATTAACTTTTAAACATAAAATGAGGTTATTTTAAGGCATACAATGTTATATATTCGGAAGCTGGAAAATGAATTAGTTGACAATTGCTACAATTTTTGAATTAATCCTTATTTAATCTTCATAGCTACGACCATTTTAAATAGTAAAGTGTGAAAACTCAATAAAACGATTGGCATATATTAACTCTTTATTTTATTACTACAGTGGAACTACCAGAATATAAAAATGAGTGTTCACACCAATAGAATATGATACTGTTTTAAACTTAAAGCTTTAGTGGAACTAATGATGGTTTAATGACCCTACAAAATGTATAATTAACTATTGTAAAATGTATTTTTTCTTAGAAACGAGGATAGTTTTTTCTCGTACATTCCAAATGCTTGTCCACATTAGGGGTTTTCCCCTGCACATGCAAATGAGCAGCGCTTATCTCGTTTAACAGTTGATCAGTGCTTATCAGTGGGGCCCTGAACGCCCCCAATAAAAAACACAAAACACAAACGAAAGAAGCAAATCTCACGCACACGGGCATGCACACATTTTGAGTAATTCAATTATTTTCTGTATTATTTTCAATGTGCAACAAAAGCGACAATAAAATAACAAGCCAGCGGCAGGCAATACAGCCGAGTTATCAACGTGTTGCTGCTGTTGTTGCAATGCTTGTTGCTGATGTTGTCGTCGATTTCAAACTGGCACTGACTGGCACTGGCACACAGCTATAGCAATTATTCTGTGTTCGCTTCAGTCGCCGCCCGTTGATTTTGATAGAGCCCGAGACTTCCGCTGGACAAGGGGGTGAAGGGGGTTGAAGGGGCGGAAAACCGCGGGGTCGGCGCCTGGAAAAATCCAAGGAAAGTTTTGGCGAAAGTCGTTGTCTATCCAAAAAATGAAAAGGGTCAATCAAGGGCTAGCATTATGGCTACATTTTTAAAACAACACAGCTTAAAATACATTTTTATACCTTACATGCACAAATTAACAACCACAATAAAAAGTAATTACGATTTTACTCGCTCTTTGCATGCGATTTAAACGTATTTTGGTATGTTACTGCAGTCATTAAGTATGCCTTAGCTTGTTTAAAATGAATAGAATATTTTTATTTTATAACTTTAACAAAATCAATAAAAAAAAAGTCTCAATTAACTTTATTCAAGGATGTCGCGATCTGTAACAGAAATGAATTAAAAAAGGCCAATCTTGTATGTATTTAATGATTTTAAGACCCCTTTTTATGTCCTATATAAACAAATTACCGAGCTCGTTAAACCGTAAGTATCATTTAATTCCGTAATCGCATTCAAAAAAAACCTTGATGGGATTTTAAATGCTAAGTCCCACTTGCTGTACTATGAAAAGGTACGTCAAATGCAATTAAAGTACAAAAAGTAGGTGATAAACTTCGTTTAAATCTTGGCAAGCACCAAATTAAAGTAAAAATACCACTACGTTTATCAAACTTCCCCTTCCCAGTACTATTTAATTTACGAAGTCATATACATTTTTAAAATAGTTAAATATTTATAGACTATGGCATCTTTTAAAATGCACTTTTTAATTTCGCGCCAAATCGATAAAAAAAAACCGTGTAACGAGTTGGCATTTCCGAACCATTTGTTTATTTATCGATTGCCAGTGCAGTGTTGTAAAACACTAAAACCGTTGCCAGATATTTCAAAATAAAAAGACTAAGTGAATTTTTGAAACTATCCCCTTAATATAAAATACTTCAAATTAATAGAACTACTTGATCAATAATATGTTTCATTTAAACTTTTCACCGCCTGATAGTTCTTAAAATTTCCGAGAAAGCTTGTCTTTGCTGAAGTCTGGCAACTCCGCCGTCATCTGTTCCGCAGTTTGACATGCACACAGTTTTGGAGTAACTCAAAATATTTTCGCTATGGTTTTTTTTTAATAATTTCGTGTGTGAAACGGTGATATTATTGATTTTTTATTGCATTTAATGCATCGACCAGCTGGGACAGATCGAAATCCGCTGGAAGACTCTACGGATTTCGCACACGGAGCCAGTGAAAAAGTTTTGTTTACCTTTTTTCGATATCCCAGAGTTCTGCGATTTGCGTCCGTGTGTGCGAGTGCCCCTGTGTATATGTGCATGGACGTGTGGGTTCCTATGTGTGTGTGAGCTGGTGTGCAAAAATGGAAATGCATTCTCAATAAAATCAAATAAATGGGCCAACCGCTAAAAAATAGTGCATTCTAAAATTGGTTGCTTAAAGCTGCGCACATGGAAAATGTGCCCGATATTTCCTCCAGCGCTTCGTCTTCTTCTTCTTCGAATTCTACTTCCACTCTGAAACTCCAAAGTAAGTTAACCCCCAAGTCCCTCCAAACCTCAACCCCCTTTCCCATTTCTCTATTTATGTATTATATCTGAGCTATAGGCATCATTATCTCCTCGATTTTCGATCTGATAACCGTGCTCTCTTCAATATTGGTTTTCCAATTAGTTTTTGTTTTGTTGTGTTTCGCTTTGCATTGCGTTTTGTTTTCACGTTGTTGGGGGTTTCTTTGGGCCATTAACCCACTGGTGGCTGTTGTCCATTATTACGATTGTTCTGGTACGACTGAAATCTCAATAAGTTTTCATCATTTCACCGTTTTAGAATGATAGGAATGTTGGTTCGAAAATTCCTATAGACACAGTCAGCTGTTCCTAGTTCTTATGATTAATATATGGCAACTCTCTGAAAAACCTTTTTTGAGGGTTGAATTTCAATTTGTTTTTATGTTGAACAAAAGTGAACATAATTAATCATAAATTCATGAGTTAAGATAAGATAAAATGACTATAATATTGCTTATATATAACAGTATATGATATGATAATGTTTTCCGGGTCATTTCATAATTATAAATTTAAAACCGATAGGTAGAATCTTCAGTGATTTGATAAACTAACGAAATCAGAATGAAAATAGACTTAACTAATGTCTAGACATTGAATTACAATCAGGTGAGCCTGATCAAAATAACATACCATAAATTGATAAAAGTTATCAAAGTTTTTACTCTAGTTGATATGGCCATTCCATCAAAAATTCTTGAAAGTTAGCTCCTCTGCTCATCTTTGATTCGTCCTCTTTCTTAAACCCTTGCCGACAATCTATGTACAGAATCTATTGACATATTTATCGAACTCCTTCCTCAGCTGGCATATCTAACGCTCTTTTGATTTATGCTTCTAATAAAAATTCAATAGACTTGCAAATTGTCCAGCTACCCAGAAACTTTTGTATCCCTCTTAGCCCTCTTCTAGTCAACAAATAGTGCACAGCACGTGGAGCACAACAGTGGGGCAAGATGGGACTAATTTTAGAAATATTCCATTAAAAAAAATATGAATTTAATTAATATATTTTTCTAGTTTATTGCTAAAAATAATATTTTCTAAAAAGTTAACGTTTTCTGGAAGTTTAAAAGTGACAAAAGATATTTATATCTTTGTAAAAACCAATTATTTGAAAAGGAAATAGGATTCGGGGTGTTAATACAGTTTAGTTTGATTTAAAATTAGACTTTTAATTTCAAAACTTTCAATAAACTCCTTAAAATGCTATATTTTTTTAAAAATCATTTCCTTCAAAATCGATCAATCCCACTGTTGCTGACCCGTTGCACATCAAAAGCCGCGACGAACGTAAAAATATGCGAAGCTTCAGCCAAGAGTGTTTTATGTGTTACGCGGCTCCCTGATCCCCGAAAACCCCTGTATCCTGAGATCCGTGGGCTGTTGTGGCTGCTTCTCTGCCATACATTACAATGAAGTATGTGCGCCCGAATGGATGGCCAGCCAGCCAACCAGCCAGTGGCCCCACCTATTCTATTCCTATCCTGGTCCGATTTAGGCGGTTTATTTTGCCTGGCGGCAGGCGACCTTTTCGCACAGACACTCCAAGCCAGGCGAAGGGGGCACAGACACTTGTCCACTTGGGGTCAGATGGTCGCATGTGGCGCTCTCTCCTGCCCGCTTCTCCGCTTTTCCCTAACAAACACACACACAGAGCCAACTAAAGGCGGCGTCAACGGCTAATTATGACCCGCACGTTTTTGTGAAAAACAAACACACACATGGTTTTTGGGGGTGTGGAAAACAGAAAGCTGAAAAAGGGGGAAAATTCAGGAGAAGGAGGAGGAAAAAAACAGGGGAGCCGGACAAGTGTTTAGGCTACATTTTGAAATGTTTCCGGCGCGCACTTTACGTTCCGTGTCGCCTTCAGCCTTGAGAGTCTATATTTGGCAACGCATGCCAGGGCAGAGACCCCCATTTCCCTACTCGCCTAAATCTGCCACCCTCTCCACTTTAAACCAACCCCCATAACTTTCTCCTCCTTTCTTGGCTGGTAACTCGCTGTTTGTTTGTTGCACTTTTATTGCGTTTTGTGCTGGGTCTCCTCGGCTAAGTAGTCCTTCGTCCCTGCCATAAACATGTCGTCTTTCGCTTGATTTAGCGTTTGGCTACCCCCGTGTCCCTCGTACCTCTCCCATCCTTGCTCAATTGTCGGCCAACAAAATAGAGTGTCCGAGCCACTGACCGCTCTAGGCATACGCCGCGTATACGTAATGCTTTTTTTTGTGGACCCTGGGAAAGTGCAACAATGGCCATACCACGCCTCCTGCTCTGCCACATGCGCTTCTAATGCAAAAGCTTTCGGCACTCGATCGAGATGGAGTCATAAATCTTGTGCCGCTCATGAAGTTTCCATTGAATCTGCATACAATGGGGCTGTCCGCTTTTTGGGGCCACCCTAAATTGCTCAATTCAAGAATATGGTCTCGAAATCGAGAACAAAACCTTTCGAAAGCACTTAAATCAAAATCAAACTGTCATGATTTTAGATCAGATTTATGAAATCGATAGTTTTTTAAGATTTTTTAAATATTTAACTTTTGCTAGCTTTTCTATTTAAGCATCTAGAAACCTACTAAAGACCAATATAATTTCTAACAATCCAAAGCTTTATTAATTTATTTAATATTTTTTATATTTCCCCCTTTAGGCCAAATCAATTCCAAAAATGTCCTGATTCGATCGCAAAGCAGCGGCAAGTTATTCAGCAATGAAGCTAAACCGGCAAAGGCAACAGCAGCAACCAGTACAACGACGACTCTGCGAGCGGCCAAGCTCAAGATCGGGGCCATGCAACAGCAGAAGCAGCAACTCCAGCAGCAGCAGCAGCAACATCAGCCCACGAACGGCAGCAACATTATCCTGCTGCGTGGCACTCGCAACGAGAATGGCCAGATCATTATCCAGAACAAACAGGACATACTCAGCCTGCTCAGCGAACAGCAGCAGCAGCAGCAGGAGAAGAGCCACTCCGCCACGGCCATCACGCTCAATCAACTGCCCACAGCAACAACGGTGGCTAGGAAGACCATTGTGCAGAGCTCGGGTGGAACCACCAACAGCAGCAGCAGCAGTGGTAACTCCACCATTTCTATTGTGGCAAGTGGTAACAACAAGGAGGCCAGTAGTAACACGATCCTTCTACAAACCCCCATCAATGCCAGTCAGTTGGAGAGCGTTTTAAAGGCTCAGGAGCGTTCCAAGCAGGCGAATGTCACACAAGCCAAGATGGTGGAGCGGCCCTTTATGCTTAAACACGTAAGAGAATATTATTATTATTCATTGATCTTATTTAACTAATTTATTACTTTCACAGGCCTCTCGCAGTCTCAGTACTGAGAGCAACTGTGACAGCAAATCCCCATTTGTCCTACAAACGCTGAAGCGTTTGGAGAAGTCGCAATCCATACTGGTGATACGCAACTCCACAGCTTCGTCCTCTGCAACCAACACTTCCATGGCCACTTCGCCACCGAATGGCAATAGTCTGGCCACCTCAAGTATTCTAAGTGTGACACGCACTACAAAGGCGGCCAAGGGTGTGGCAGGAGCGCTGCACAAGCTCAAGGTGGCGGCAGCAACAACAGCTAACAGCGGTGGAGCAACATCAGCGGGTGCAACACCATCCACGGCCACTACTATACTTAGGCTAGGAAAAAGCGCCACCACAGTGGCCATTAATGGAGGCAGCAAGTTAGAGGCAACGACAACCACAACAACAACAATAGCAGCCGCAGCAACAACGACAACATCAAATAAATTGTCCAACGCGGTGACAACCGAGCAGCAGCAACAGCAACAGCAGCAGCAACAATCGACAACAACGCAAACGAATGTGCCTCTTGGGAACGGTAAGTCTCGAGGATTTTGTATCACCGAATTTCAAATGCGGCGCATAAATTGCTACCGGGGTTTTCGGCAGGTGTTGCTGTTGCAGGTGCATTTGCATCGGGACCGAAAAACAAAAGCCTGACGCAGTCTCTCGGCTGAAGATTCGCCTCTTTTCCGGCTTTTGTATCCCCTCTTTGTTGCCTATTTTTGTGGCCGGCTTCTATTTCTGTTTAGTTTCGAAATTTTCGCTGATTTACCAGGAATTTTTGGCGAACGTGGCTAGCCTAACAATTATTCAATTAAATCGAGAAACGTCTTCGACCGCCCCCTCGGGTGTTCCAGCTGCACTCAGCTGTGAATACCATTGATTTTCACACCCGAATCAGTCTGCTGCTCCCTGGTGTCCGGTGTTTTGCTTTTGGCCAGGGCAAAACAAACAGCCAACAACGATGGAGGGGTGTGTGTGTGTATGTGTATTTGTGTGCCGTCTTCATTAGCGCTGTGTGTGCTGAGTAACAAGTTACAAGTTATCAGAAAGTTTCCACCAGTTTCGGCCAGTAAGTAGCGGCCCAGTCAATGATTTCCCAAAGAAATTGTTTGGGCGTAAAGTGCTCAAGACTTTCAATGATTTCCAATTTGAGCCAATTGAAAGTTGCAACCTAATTTGGGGAATTATTTTGGATTTCTTTGGTAATCTTTTTCTTACTGGAAAACTTAATACATTTATTTAAGATTATGGTTTACTATATTCAATGGCTAGAATGAATTTTTTCAAACAGTACTTTAACTTTATAAGGACTTGGATTTATTCCTGTACTAAACTGTTAAGTTTTGCTCTCCTTCCCTTCTGATTAGCAACAATTTAATACTTCTCAGCTATTTCATGACTCTGGCCACGCATTTCGAGAAATTCCTCAGAGATCCGAGTGCCGATTAGCCAAGTTGACAACTCGAAAACGCCCTGGGAAAGGACCAATGTGCTTAGGTCCACAGAAAAAAATCGCAATCGAGAATTTCTTGGGGGAGCTGTGATGATTATTGCACTCGATACATGAGTGTCGTCTTGGCTGGCGATTCTGCTGACAGGCCAAAACGATGGTAGAAGTGTCTTAAGTGATTTTTAAGCCCGATTCGAGTTATGGCCAAAAAGGCAACATCTCGTTTTGTGGGGGTGTTGAGTTGTTGAGCTGTCGCCGACATATTGCCAAGCTCAAGTATTGCTGATGTTTCAATTGCCGACCGACAATGTCTACATATGTCTGAGTATATATGTTGAATGCAGACTTTTAGAAGATCTCTATCTGATTTGCAGTTAAACAATTGCAAAAGCAAAGCAGCCAAAAAAAAAAAGGGACGACTTTGCCCGCTTGCATTTTATTGATAAAACTTTTGCCAGCTCTGAATTTAAAATATTTTAATTTAGTTTGGCTTTAGTTTTCGGCACCCAACAATAAGTTGTGTTGTTTTTCCCGTTATCCTATCATATTCGCCATGGCCATTAGCTAAAAGGCGGCCAACCTTCAAACAAAAAAAAAAGAGAAGAAAAAAAATCTGAAATAAAGCCACGAAATTTGCCTTTCGGTGAGGTCTTCTATCACATTTCCCTTTTTTTTCGCCTGAAAGGCAAGCAAATTAAACAAATTACCCCCCACACATGTGTGGATCCGTGAGATACTTTTGCATGCAAGTCCCGTCAAAAAAAAAAAAAGAAGAAAGAAAAGAAATCAGGAAAAAGCGTTACAATTCGCTTTGCACTTTTTGTGCATTTTTCTTGAAAAATCCTTTTGGCCGAGCCTTGTGTGCTTCATTATCATTATTTGAGTCCGTTTCTCTGTCTCTTTCCTTGAGCACATAATTGCCAAGAGAAATAAAAAAGTTGGAGCTTTGTTTTGCACAAAACTTTTGCATTTCCGTTGTTATGAAACTTGAGCGCTTCCAAAAAATGAGAAAAAAAAGAGGTTAGTGAGTGCCAGAAGTGAGTGAAAAAAATTGGCTAAAAAAGAAAGAAGAATAGGGCCGACAACAATCTTTTCGTGTGAGTTAAATTGCGAAATATGATGGCCGGCGCCTGGCACCACTTCACACAGGGCCAGAGAGAGAGACAGGTCGAACAGCAGGTGTCGTCCTGTAGGTGGCTAATTAGATAACACTGGGCCTAATTTGATGGTGCCACGCCCACTATTCGCCCTTGCTTTTCACTTGTTTTTCCTTTTTGGCAACACACACACACACACAAAGGACATCTCGTTTGATTATTGTGTCAAAGTCCCCAGCCTTTTGTTTTCTTTGGTCTTTTACCCACTTTTAGACTATGTTTGCCATGCCCTGATTTGCTTTTGGCCATTTGTGCCGCATTTCATTTTAGAACTCTAATCACACATTAATTTTTAAAATACTTTTTTCTTCTTTTTCAATGCTCATTGATGCTGCAGTTTAATTGCAGTGTAGTAACGTCAAAAGCTACCTGTATCTTTATTATATTCCAAATTTTAGGTTTGATTGAATTTTGCAAGTAAATATAATTACGGTCATGGATCTAGAAGCAATAATAATAACGACCGATAACGACTTAATTCACATTTTTGGTAATTTAGACAGCAAGAAAAGCCACTTATGGTCACTTTTATTAAGAAATATTTTGAGTTATAAACTTTTCTTTGTAGTTCAAATAATGATCCATTTTTAATCCATTTAAATAGTTATATATTTAGTGTTCCTTGTAATTGGAATACTCCGATGAGATGTTGAATGTGGCTTTAAGGTCTCGACGGTGGTAAAAGCTCAACTGCACAGCGTATTCGCCAGTTTCGACTGGAAAGCGAACTCTCACTTGATTCCATTCCAATTCAAAATTCTCACATTTATACAACTTATTGGCCTAAAAGTTAAAAATTGTTAGGCTATTATTTGAGTTACATATCTGTAATTTAATTACTTGCAGGGGGCAGGTGTAGTTCTCAGCGAGATAGGGTTTTAAATAGCTAAAAGCAGCACTGAATATCCGGTTGTTTTGATAACGAAGAAAGTCGCACATGCTAATGGTCACGTTATAGAGAAAGGGTCGCCAACCATTGGCTCGTTTGAAAATTTCAAAGCGAACCTATTAATATTTTTTTATGTAATATTTTAAGCTTACATTTTAGATATATATAGATATATATTACTTACATTTATGTTACTAGCAGTTTGATTTTGTCTGTAGTGAACACTGATAGAGCTTCTATAGTGATTAATGGCCTTAACTTTGCACAGAACTATTTCGCCAAACTCTTTGTCGAACATTGTACAGTGAAGGCTCTTGATCTTGGCCGTTACTTCCAGAGAGTTAATAGACAATATTACAAATATTAGTACAACCAACATGTTTATTCAAAAGTTATTGATAAACTGATCTACTTTAAACAAAGCTGGTAGTATTCTGTACTAATTTAAAACTCATTAACTGAGTCACTTACCTGAGCATATTTGTAAAATGAAAATAAAAAGCTTCATTGATTATCATTTTTGTTAGTTTGTATAAAATTAACTAACAGTTGATAGGAAAGTTAAACAATAATTTTGTAACATTTAATTAAAGTCACAAATAAAAAGCAGACCATCCATAATATATAATCAGAAATCAATGACAAACTAGTTACATCCATGAAATGGGTTTATAAGTGGCCCACTTTTAATTTGTAGTTAAAAAACAGTTTGTAGCTTGCAGATAAACTATCAAACATTTTATTAATAACCATTTAAATACCATTTGCCCAAGGAAACATCATATACGGCTAGTGTTTTGCTAGTTTTTAGCTTAGTACGTTTTTGAAACTCAGTGCTCTCGATAGTTGCGGTATTCTATAGATCCATTTAGTGTCAAAGTAACTTTCCGCTGAACAATGAAACTCAACTGAAGTGCATATTCGCCTGTTTCTATGGGAAAACGAATTCTGAACTTTTCAATATCAAACTCCAGGTCGGTACATCGTATTAGGTGATTTTTCTGAAAAAAAATGATATTGTAAAAAAATATATTTCGCAAAATTAAAGTCTATCTACCTTAAATGGACAAGTGTAGTTGGTTATGGGAATATAAGGCTTAAGATATTCATAACCAAGGCTCACAATAATATTTTTTCTTTTCTTAGATAGAAATTCGCAAAGGTTAAATGAGATATTGTAGAGAAAGGGACGCCAGCCATTGGCGCGTTTAAAGAGCTCCATACGCATCTGAAATTATAATCAAAACTCCAAGATATTGAAATCAAATATAAAAGCGGTCAAAGGTGCCACTAACTTGGACTTGGGGAACGGTTGTCAGCTGCCTGAATTGAATACTTATCGAGTTCCTATAACGGTTGATGGCCTTGATTCTGCACAATACAATCTCGCCCAAAGTCTTGTTATAATTAGTACAGTGAAGACTTTTGAACTTGGTCTCCACCTGCAAAGATGACAGGAGCACTAGACCAAAGATCAGAGCTGCTAACATGGCTCTTAGGTGTCGAAAGGTGAACTGAACTGACATTGAATTCGAAGAGCGATTATATCATTTTTGCCATGTCAGATAGTCACCGGATTCACTTAAATGAACCCTATAATCAAAATGTTTAATTGTTCGCCGAGTGAACCATTAAATGGCAGCAAACAATATACATTATTATTATTTTTTTTTTTTTAAGATTTTTCTTCTTTAAAAAGTAATTTTACTCAACACGTTTCTAGCATTTACAAGGATAATAAACAAGAATCAAAATATGAACGTTCTAGGAATTAGAATTGAAATGTGAACTATGAGCTGAAACCCTAACAATTTTCCATTACCCTGAATTTGTTCAAAAGTAATCATTGAAATCTAAAATAAAAGCTAGTCAAGCCAGACGAAAATTGGTTTCAATTGACATAATATTGTATAAAAAATGTTTGAAGCTAATTGAAATGATAAAAATCAGTCAAACATTCTCTGGTGAACAATAATTATTTTTTAATGTCTCTGTCTGGGCTATGATTCAGCAACTTTTGAGGCAATAAATAATAATGTTTAAATGTAAAGTTTTAATTAAATACAACTAGGATTTACATCTAGTAGTTGACCCAATTTCAAAGTTAAATTTTAATTAACTGCAAGTTTAGGTAAAATAATATCAAAATTCTCTTCTTTCACCAATAACCTAAATATTTACCTAATATTAATATATATATTTATTATAAAATATATTAAATGGCATGTGCCGCAGATGCGTCCGTGTCCATGTTGCATAGTTGCGCTTTAGGTTTGATTAAAAATTCCAGTGCCAAGTTGACTGCCCACCGGAAGGTGTGCAAAGGTTTTCCAGGCACGTGCAAATTCCTCACCTTCCCCTCAATGGTTTCTACTCCTTTTTTTTGTAGTGCTTCCTGGATTTTGTTATTGTTTTGGTTTTCGTTTGGGTTTTTTGGGGTAGGACCAAATGGAGCCGACGACGAGCCTCTAGGTTTTAGGTGGCCAAATGGTCGGCGGCAGGGGGTTGTGTTAATCTATTGCGCAGGTCTCTAACGGTCGGGAAACAACCCCTAAAATATTGTTGTGCAATAGAAGTGTGTAGGTGCTTTTGTGGACCAACCCACACAGTTCTTTTGGCATTCCAGGGAAATTAGGCTAATGTCGATTGTTTATGGTTTATTTACAGGATAAAAAAATAGGAATATTTTCTATATAAAATCTGCTTAGCTGTTGTTTCATTCTTAATAAATTGCTTAAAAAACAAGATGCTCCTTTTAAAGATTGTTTTTGTCTTGAAGACTTCTAACTTTGCCTCCCACTTATTTGGTATTTTGAAGACCTAAGTTCCTGTACCACCCCCTACCGCTATATCCATCATCTCGCTGACCCTCTCGCTCGCTCTTGCTTAGGCTTAAAGCTGCTGGCAACCGACGAATCCGGGCCCAAATGCCATATTTCGGGCCGAACAAAGGGCGGACTCGGTTCCTGTCGGCAAGCCGAATGTCCTTGCCATCCGCTGCTGGCATTTGCCAGCTTTTTCAGCTTTCCGCTTTCAGTTTTCAGTTTTCAGACCTTGGCCAAGCGTGTCGGACGTGGCTTTCTCTTGGCCCTGCGAAAAAAACTAACTACGTTACGTTTCGTATCTACGTATTTACGAGTATATCGCCATGCTTACGTGAAGATGGCTGATCAAATATTTGCCCGTGGCATCGACATTAAATGTCCACAGACTGGCTGGTTGATCTGGCAATAAGGTTTACACAAACATGATTTAATCGGGAGAACTTCGCTCGCTCGCGGAATCTTCCAATTTGCCACAATTTGTTTATGTAATTTGTTTACACTTTTTCTCAAGCCCCTTCGACTTCAATTTGTTGTTTGCTTTTCGTTCATCTTCATATTTGTTGTTGTTGTTGTTTCTGTCGATGTTGTGTGGTCAATTTAAATTGGTGTACTTAAGATCTCTGGACTATATATATATATAAATATATCTCCTATATGTGTGTGTTTTTGATGTGTTATATATGTTTTCATTTGAGTAGTGGTTTTTGATGTTGTTAATTGGTGTTTTTTAAAGTAAACAGATCTATTTGTATGACATATATTTTAAGGAAAAATAAGATATGAAATTATTTTGATATTCTGGTACACCCGGCAATTGTGATTCATGAAATTCTTGGACATTGTTTAGGGACACGAGACTTGAGCTTATCTAAGTCTAGTTTTCTAGTTGGCAGCTGTCACTTGATAAGTCGGATAAATATATATATAAACGAACATATTTTGGCCAGACTTGAGCAACTTGTTTGTAGTTGAACTCTGGTTCAAGGTTCAGTCTGTAAGCAGAGGGGGGATGTGCCAAGAAATGTAACAGTTAAAGTTAAATTAAGTTAGAAATATAAATATTTAACCATTTACATAGTTAGTTAGGGTGATGTCCAGGAAATTTGTGAAATTTCAGTGGCGTTCGCTTTGAGATTTGTGTTGACACACGACTCGAGATGAACAGGAGGAGATGTCAAGATAGGCGGCATACGTTATCAGCATCACGGAGTGACATTATCAACCCGAACTAAGCCTAAAATCTACTGCCCTCGTCTAATTTATGGCTGAGAAAAAAAATAATAATACAACTTACAAATTTAACGAACAAAATTGTAGGAAATAATCCGCTCCGGTCGGTCCATTTAGTCAACTTGTGTATCCCCAAGCGATCAGACGCTCAAGGCGGACTAAAAACAATATCCGGGGCATTATAGTGTTAATAGTGATCAGTGAACAGTTAACAAAGAATACGAGCAATGGCAGGCTATAGATCGCTGCCCTTGGCTCCGGTGGCTGCTACGGCGGCAGTGCAGCCCACAATGGGTGGAGTACCACCAACGATGGCTGCCTACGCCCACCATCAATCGATGACGGCCATGTCAAACAACGGTATTATCTATCAGTCGGCGGTGCACGCCTCCATTCACAGCCTCAATACGGTCCAGAGCCAGCATCGATCCTCAACAACCACCCATCATCACATTCTAGCCACGGCAACAGCAACGGCAACTGCAACGGCGGCGGCGGCAGCTGCAACAGCAACAGCTGCAGCGGCGGCAGCAGCAGCTGTTGTTGCCCTACCGACGGCTGCAGCAACAGCCGCAGCACCACAGCAACATGCAGGCTTCGGACAGCAGCAGCAGCAACAGCAACATCACCAGCAACAGCAGCAACATCTCATCCAGCAAAGCCAACATCAACAGCAGCAACACCAGCATCAGCAGCAGCAGCAGCAACAGCAACAACTGATGACCCATCAGCAACACTCTGTGGCACAGCAGCAACATCACCACCTACATCAGCAGCAGCATCTTCAGCAGCAGCAACAGCACCACCATCATCATCACCATCACCACCACCAGCAGTTGTCACTGCACCAGAACCACCTGTACTTCAGCGGTGCCAGTTTGGGTCACCACCACCACCATCGGCAGATCTTCAGTCATCTGCAGAGCGCCTTAATGCCGCTCAGTGTTAGTAAGTATGCCGTCTCAAGGCCCCTTGAAGGGGATGTGACAGGTCAATTGCAATAGTGAGGGATCGAAGAATAAGGTTGGAAATAAATCTATAAATTTGGTGGCTATTCAAGTTGGTAAAGTGATGTGAAAATAGAGATCGTTAACGTGAATCCTTATAAAAAGTTAACGTTTTCTGATATTATCTAATTTTATTTATTTTCTTTCAAAATATTTAAGTATTACAAAAGATATCCAATCCAAAAATCTCTAAATATGACTAATAATCATCTTTACCAACTTGCAATAGCCTTTGATCTGATGTGTTATTGGTGTCGCATGTTCTGTCTTTAATCAAGTGATTTTACTATCGATGTTGTGCTTATTTAATATATATATCTCAATGTGTGTGTTTTTCTTAGTCATATTTATACGTCAAAATGATCCTTAAATTCTTAATTTAAATGTTGTTTCAGTGTGTTTTCTATGTGTAGTTGAAGAATCAAATTATCTTATTCTAAAAACACACCTCAGGTTTCTTTACATACATTTTCCATTTTATTTCTATTCCATAGAATATTTATTATATTCCAAAAACACACCTTAAACGACACTTTCTTGCTAGACTGTTAAATCTCAGTTTAAACTGAAGTTTCCCCGTGATTTCGATTTTCACTTAAGTTACACCCCTTTCGGTAAAACATACACTCGGGGGAACCCAGAACATGGATTTTAGCATTTTCTGAACATTTCATTAAATTTTATGCCATATCTTCCTGGGCAATAATTCGCACGCCATTCCAGAGACGCGTGCACGGGTGGCTCGCGCATATGTTGACAGTCGTTTATTGTTTGCAAAGGACACCGAACACACAAACATACAAGGATGTGTCCACATATACGCTGTAACCAGTTACAGTTACCTATAACGAGGCTCGCACGCCTAAAACCTAAACTACAGACAATTGAAACAAAAGGCCACCGAAAGGAGGCCCAAAGGAAAGGCTTTCACCTTTCCAATCCCTTCTCTCTTGCGTTTATTGTGTACGCGTGTGTGTGTGTGTGTGTGTGTATAGGCAACAATGCAAAATATGCCCAACATTCGGCGTCTTTTTTCCATTCATTCGGATGTGTGCCCTCAGCTTTTGTACTGGCTTAGTTTTTTGTCACCTCACCTGTCCCTTTTCCTTGTCTTTTGTTGCACATTGTGAAATATGTCAGCAATTGTTGCAACTTTCGTTGTTTTTTTGTTGTTGTTATTGTTGTTGCTGCTATGTGGCCATTGTCACATTAGATTTTGTTGCTGCCCGGCGGCCGCTTAACTTTATTATTTTAACTTAACGGCGTTTTAAGTGTTTTTTATGAGATGGCAACAACAATGGCCCCTTTGAGGGCACAAGTGTGGGTGTGGCTGCACTCGGTTGCAAGTAAACATTTCACACACCAACGCACACACTCACACACATAGGTACCCACATATACAGAGAGACACTCCGTTCATATGAGTAGCTTCATTATGCGCCTCATTTTTTGTAGCATACTTTTTTGGGGTCGTGAAAAACCAACAAGTGCGGAGTTATGTGTTGTTGTTGCGTGGGTGAAGGGACTATTGTTGTTTCCAGTCAATTGGATTGTGTTTGTGACACCCAAGAGTTCGTTGTCTTCTTTG